CGAGATTGTAGGTGCGAGATTGTCAGATCGTCTAGCCCCCTTACCACTCAGTGCTTTCTTCAGCCCAGCACAGGACACGCCTTCAAACAGCTGTCCAAAAGTGGTTGTCCTTGACGTTTGTGCGCGGACTTCCGAAATGATTCATCCTGTGCGTAACCCTATTCATCAGCGGTTGTGCCGAGGTACCTCTTTGAACCCACTGCCCGGAGGAGAACAGTAGTTGCGAGATCTCTGTTGTACGTAGTCAGCCTCGCACTTCTCGTCTCCTTGCCTCTCCACCCGGTGCAGGCCACGCCTTCCACCGAAAGAGCGACGGCGTCTGCGGCGTAGGTGCCTGCGCCGCCGGCGGCGCGCAGCGGGTGCGCGGGCGGTGCATTGTCGACGCGGGGCGTCGGCGAGGCGTCGGCGTCGGCGTCGGCGGCTGCCGCCTCCGCGCCTGCCTTGCGGTCGACGCCGCCCCGCGCCGCGTCGGGCCGTTGGCAGTGGGCGCGGCCCGCCGGCCTCGGCTGCTCGTGCGCGGCCCACGAGCGGCGCGCGCGAAATCGGGCGGTAAATCTTAATGTCCGCCGAATTTGGGACCCCCCGATCCGCGTCGCGGCCCGCGAAACGCGCGCCCCGACGACTCTCCGGCGAAGGGGGAGGGGCTTTCGAGGGCCACAGGAGGAGGAGGAGGTGGCTGGGCGGTTACGCCTGTGTATCAATTACACATCTGATACATGTTTTGATCTCTTGATCTTCTGTTTTCTTTATTTAGCTTATCGCGTTTGCGGAATGAACATTAGTAATCTATTCACGAGGAAGCGACGGTGTGAACTTTTTATAACGAAACTCAATGGATCCAAAACCTTCTACCCTTAGAAAGTTTTTGTTACATGGGGAGAGGCATCGGTTAATGGGTTGTATGTAAAAAACAAAACTCATGTAGTTTTATCATTAGAGGGAGGTTTTGTTTAAAGAAACGTCGTTTTAAAGAATTTGCATTGCTTCTAGTTTAAGAAATTAATTGTTTCTCGGAAACATCGATCAAATACAAAAACTTGAAATACCATATTTTCATTAATTAACTAACATGCGGGAATTGTCAAATTTATTTCTAGAAATCACGCGATATCTCGATTTCTAATTTTTTAACAATATATGAGTATCAGAAATGAGGTACATAACTAAAGAATTGTGAAAATATTTAAGTCCAAAATCAATTGAGATAATCGATGAAAATCGTGAGTGTAAATATAAGTGTGTAATTTCATAATTTTATTCACACCTGTTATTACTACCTACCCATTATTAAAAATTATTATAATAAGCGATACTCAACAGAAGAACGGAAACAAAATTAAGATATTCCGACGGTTACATTTGAATTTTCTCCATTGCCTTTCCATCACAAGAAAAGAAAATGAGCCTAGTGTTTGAACTTCATTTAAATGCCTAATTACTCCGAGAAGAGATTTAAAAAAAATGCGACGTATTCTTAAACACCAAAACGGCATCGCTGACGATAGCTCGTCAAATGAACATCTGACCTCCCATTGTGCCGTGGCGCGCATGCTCTCTCATAGCATCGCGCCCTCGAGGTGCCCGCCTCCTGCCGTGTGGCGTTGTGTAAACCGCTGGTGACCATTGTGCAGCTTCTTTGAATTATGTATCCGAGGGGAACACGACTCGCGTCCCGCTGCGCTGCCGCCATCTTTCCGAGGCACGCAGAGACGCGCTTCTTTTGTTCTGGCACATCCCTTGTTAGCTATTCGATGGGACTCGACAGCCCTCGGAATTGCCCCAGTGCTCTCGTCCCTGTGCCACCCAAAAACAAATCGATGGAAATGGAAACTGAGATTTATTGACAACTACAGTCTCTAGCAGATCCATCCTCCCTCGCTCCTTGTTCCGTTTTGAGTAAACAATTTTTAAAAAATTAATTATTTTATTTTATAAATGGTTTGTTTAAATATTATATACTGTTTTGATATCATTAAAATGCAATTGGTGCTCGTTAATCATTATTATGTGTAGCATAGATACTTTTTATATTTTTAAATATTGCTTTCTTAAGATTATTAAAACTATTTGCGAAGTCTCTTGCTTTACTTTTTGAAAGCGCTACCGATAAAAATATTCGATGCAAAATCCATAGAGATTTCTGGGCTCTTGTGCTTAGGCAAACAAATGTCCAATAGTTATTTTATTACATTAAAATTAAATGCAAAGACTAAATATTATAGAATGTAACTTATTTTACTTATAAACGAAGTTTTTGGTCCGTCAAGACACACTATCCGGCTGAGTAATTTTTTTTAAATGATTGCGATATCTTTAAATTTCAAATTTTATGACTGATTTTTATTTTTATTCTACTTTATTTTGATGGCTTACTTCTAATTCTAATTTTAGCCTTCTCTTACAATTATATTATTATTATTATTAGAACCCCAAATAAAAGTGCTAGGTCATTCACAATAGTTGCATGACTAGTGCCAGGTGGCCCCAAATTCAGGGTATTTGAATTTTCGTGAAAGACGTCTCTGTTCCAGGATCAATTTTGTAAAGGAGTGTTCTTGTTACAGGTACTGACTCCGCAGAAAGTCGGTGACGTGTACCTCTATGATCTGCCGCCCAACAGAACGTCGCCCTGCCAGAACAGATACGACGTGCCCCCGACATCACACAACCTGGCGGTCGACTCGATGCAAGGTATGCATGCATTGCATTCTTGTTTGCATTTTCGCCTGCAAATTGCATCCGAAGTGTATCTTCAGAGTGATAATTCATATTCGTAAAAGGAAACGATAGTATTTATTCACTTAATAAATTAAATTTATAATATTTCAGGTAAAATAAACCGATATTTAATCTTTTATTTCCTTTGTGTTGCTATTTATTTTGATTTGTGAATAATAGATTTTGTTTTACACGGAAAACCTACCACACAGAAAGTGCTAGTACGTACCGCAGCGCACGAAAGTAGTGTGGGTTGCGTTGGTGTAATTTCAGGGGCAAGCCAGAAATCCGGTATACGGTTTCTCTAATGAACGGTTATGCAAGTTTGCTTATTACAGTCAATTCTTAACATGCATTAGTATTGATATTATTTTTTTAACTTTCAATATTTTTTCAAGTATCGCCAAAAAAATTTTTTTGAAACTACGTTAGAAAATAAAAAGTGACACGAAGATATCTTGTAGAAGTAAATCATGGGTGAAATAGCACTCTTCATAAATTGAAATGCCTTCTGTTTTGCTAGATATTCCTAGACTTTAAATTGTAATGGTGTTTAATAAATTAAGAAACGTTTTAGAAATTTAAAAACATAAAGGACATGAAAGAAATTTCATTTCTAACATTATCACAGCCAAATTTAATTCTCCTGAAGGAATTCCAATGCTGACAAGTGTTTGAAAAATACTGAACATGTTTTTTGAATGTTTTATTTATTTTGTTATTACATTACAGTACGAGCTCTTGCCATACATTAACAATAATTTTACTTTCATATGTGTTGCTTAAATTTCATGCTCTAAGTAAGGTAAAAGCCAGTAGTGGCTGTACATAAGAACATTTTTTGTAGTTAGAGTTATTGGGGTACTGTACTAATTTCGTTACGTGAAATTCAATGGGCGATTAGAATGCCTACTTCGAAATTGCTCCCATGGCAATTTTAACCAATTTCCTTTTTATTGTATGTTTTTATTATTTTTTTCTAACCTTGGTCCTGTAGTAAAAAAGTATCAATTCGTACTACATTATTGCAATGTCAATATTAACAATGTTTCTTATAACTTATTTCTTATATATTATAAGAGGAGAAAATAAATAAATAATCTTCGTTATACTGCTCACCATTAGAAAGCATAAGCTTCACGTTCTGCAAGTTTGAAGCGCGTGAAGAACTTCCAGTTCTTATATTTTTAAATGTGCTTGAAGTGACCACTACTGAAGCAGAAGCTACTACTGGCGTTTTAACCTAATTGGTGTTTGCTTTTACAAAAATATGTTCGTTCTTATCCTAAAATGCAACAAATTAGTCAATCCTAAAACCGATTTGTTAATTGAGGCACTCAGGATAATAACCACAGATCCCACCAACCTCGCATTTTCAGTTAGAAGTACGACGGTAAACTTCTACCAGATACCTATCATATACTGAAATTTCAAATGAATTGGAATATGGCAAAACCCTGATATTTCACCTTCAAAAATGCGTTCATAGTGAAAGTGAACGTGAACGAAAATGGAAAAAGTAATTTTTCTCGAAACGAATTTCGGTTGGGAAATGTCGTTTTTATTCTGAGCGCCTCAATTTCCCTGGACGTTCCGTGGAGCGCACGTGGTGACGTCGGTGGCGTGTGTCCTCAGGGCGCTACCAGGTGCCGCCGTCGCGGGGCCCTCCGAGCGCGGCGCCGGGCGACGCGGGCGACCGCGACAGCAGCGGCAGCACGGTGGGCAGCGGGGGCGGCGCGGGCGAGGCGTACGACGTGCCGCCGCGCGCCACGCCCGTGCCGGTCAGCTACGACACGCCGCGCTCGTGCCTGCGCGTGTCGCCCGCGCCGGGCGCCCTGCCGCTGCGCCGCGACTCCGCCGACAGCTACGACGTGCCGCGGCCGCTGCTCCAACAGCAGCAGCAGCTCACGCCCAGCTCGTCCGCCAGCTCGCTCACCGCCGACTCCATGTCGTCCTCCAACCGCTCCAGCCTCGCCGCGCCCGAGTACGACGTCCCGCGGCCGCGCGGCCCGCAGCTCAACCTCCAGCAGCAGGTGGGCGCCCTCGCCGACCCTCTTTCGCGCGTCACTCTACGTTCACTGCTCTGGGTGAATTTGTTCGTCTTCCTTTTCTCCCTTTATTCTCCTCCTTTCCTTTCCTTTCCTTTCCTTTCCTTTGCTCTACTTTCCAGTAATAAGAGGATGGAAACTTCAGACAGACAACTTGATTTAAATGCAAAATTATAGTTATAGTTTACCTTTCGTTCTACACTAAAATTAATTTTGCGTTTTGCTTTCTTACAGCAACTTTACGACGTTCCTGCGCCAAACCCGGCTCCTAAGGAACTCCCGTTGGAACTCAACTCTGCTCTGGATACACTAGCTCGTCTTCAGAACGAAGCCACAGCCGCGATATCCAGGCTTCTCGGTTATGTTGGCCCCTTGTGGAGACGACAGGATAAGTTGGAATCCAAGCTAATGGACATTCGGTTGGCGGTTGTGCGCTTGCGAACCTCTATCCACGACCTTGCAGAGTTTGGTGAAGGCGCTCTGGGGAACGCTGGCCGTGCTGCTGATAAGGGCTTAGCCACAAAATTAAGGCCCCTTGTGAAGGCCTTGCGAGATGCGGATCGACTAGTGCAAGATGCTGCTACCTCTTTGGATGCTCTAGAGTGGTCTGCAGAAGCTTTGTCCCATTCCGAAGACGACCAGCTGGATGGTAAACGAACGACACCCCAACCTCCAGATGCACTGGACCAACTAATTGCGTGTGCCAGAGCTTTAACGGAAGATGTTCGACAAATAGCGTCTTTCATTCAAGGAAATTCTACTCTACTTTTTAAAAGGACTAGTACTCCACCAGGAAACAACAATAGTGAATGGCTTGAAGATTATGATTATGTTAATTTGGAGTCCAGAGAAACTGTTGCTAAGCAGCATGCAGAAATTTTAGATGCTCTCCCTGCGGAACTTCGTAAATCATATGACGCGCTAGTAAAAGAAGCAGAATCTGCTGCTGTTATGAACGAACCCAAATCAAGTGATGGCGGAGAGTTGGATCCCAATGACAGACAAGTATTGGCTTTCTATGCAGCTCAAACTGTGACATATACCACACATTTAACTCACGCAATTGACGCTTTCCTGCAAACTGTTGAGCACAATCAGCCTCCAAAAGTGTTTCTTGCGCATGGAAAGTTTGTGGTTCTCAGTGCACATAGGCTGGTTCATATTGGTGATACAGTGCATCGCAATGTTGTTCGACCTGAAGTGAGAGAGCGTGTCTTACAATGTGCAAATGCTCTGTCTGAAGCACTTGGAGCTACTGTTCATAAGACTAAGCGAGCAGCTTTACAGTTTCCTAGTGTGACAGCTGTTCAGGAAATGGTGGATTCTGTGGTAGACATTTCACATCTTGCAAGGGACCTTAAACTCAGTATGGTTCAAGCAGCTAACCAACCATAAGTACATGAATTGTGTTGTATGATATTCATAAGTGTACTAGTAAAGAGGACCAGTGAAAGTGAATGATTTGTGAAAGAATTGTAGCTAAATATTGTGATTCTCTCATGAAGAAATGTCTTCAAAATTTTCTGTATATAAATGCATATAGAGCTTATTCTCTTTTATGTCACACTTATAGTTTTAGTAATAGTTAAAATTTATTTTTATAAATTTTGAGACCTCTATAAAAGAAAATTATTTTTATTTAAAACTCCCTCTCGGGAGAGAAACTAAAAGGTATGAATATAATGTGGTATTAATTGTTGTTTGGTGTTGTTTCTTTTTGTTATAAACTTGTTTTTGATTAATTCCAAATTATATCATAACTTTATGTATATAATCATTGTTCTGCATATGTTCACTTTAAACAGTATTTTAGTTTCTCATTTCATTCATTTTATTTCATTTACGCAAAATAAAACAAAAGAGGTTTGCTAATTATTTGAATATTAAATATCTTCTAAAGCACAGGAAGGCTTTGTTTTTTCCCCATTCTAAAAGAAATGTTTATCTACAGTGAGCATCAAATCCATGTTCTATGTATATGGATGGAATTAAATAGGCTCTGGATGCCTATAAAAATATATATTAAAATCATAAAGGGATTCTCTTCAGATTGAAGAAAGCATTTTTTTATTTCCATAATATCTCAAAATACTGTTATTTCTAAAATAACAGTTTTTCCCCTAAACATAATACTCAAGTACTGGAAAGTCTTGGTTTACTTTTTGTTCAAAATTGTGATTGAATGCCAATATTATGTCTCTGTATGCACTTGTGTACTAGAAAAACTCAAGGCATTAATTCAAATCTTTCTAGTTATTCACTTCAGTAAATTTGGTGGTAAAAAGCTTTTTAGCATCCAGAACTGAAAGTTAAAGACTGATTTGTTTCAAGAATTATTTCATTTTGCAATTGTGATGCTTACTGATGTGCGGCAGTAATGTGTTGTTTGATGTCTATTCTTTACAGGAAAGATCTTGAGCAATGATGCATGTTGTATTTTGTACCCAGTGTGTTGATGATTGAAATGTCTCTGGAATGTGTGGAAATTATTTTTCTTGTTTTTTAAGCTTGAAATAATGTTCATCTCAGTTGCAAGTGTGCTGAGATAATTTCTTCAATAGTTGTCCATGTTTCAAGTAGGTGGGAAGTCTTTAATGTGCTAAAACTACAGTATAGCACAGGTCATATCCGATCTGTAGTGTGTTAGTACAAAATAATATATAGACATTTGGTTGCTCCATTTTATCATAAATACATTTTGTTGATGTCATTGTCAAGAAGGACCTGTTTTCTCTATAACTAAATGGCAAATTTAAAATTGTAACTGGAAGTAGGTGCTAATTAAAATAGTACATTCACTATCTAGAATATATTTCTGTTTATGTGTCAATATACTATAGAGCTCGGTTGTGTAGAATTTATCATATAATTGTAATATATTCATAAATTAGAAGAAATTAGTGTTTCCTGAGCACTGTAACAATACATTTCTCTATTTCGCTTCCTTTTTACACGAGGTGCCATGACTTGTCCTGTATTCTGAGAAACTTGCTTGGAAATACGCTAGTAATTTTGTTATTTCAGAAAAGCATAGTTTTGTTATTCTGTGCAATTATGTTGTCATATTAAGAGTATATTCTGAATGACATTGAGGCCCTTTGTTCAGATCAGTGGTTCTCAAAAATTGTATTTCTCTTAAAAACATTAGAAAAGTTTCAGCCCTTAATGTAAAAAAAATGAAAACTCATTTCAGACCAAATGGATTTTTTATATACAAAAACAATTTTAATACAAACATATCTATTTATTTCTAAAAACTATTTTCTGAGATGGTTTTGATTTGAAATACTTTGTGTAGATCTACTAATGAAAAAAAAAAACAACTCTTGTTCACAATTTATTGACTGTGACAAAAATGTAATGATTTAATTAAATGTTGGGTCAAGTTATTAGAAATGTTACTTATAAAGTACACATGTGTAAAATAGATTTTTCACACCAACTTTGAGAACCTCTAGTGTCAATCATACTCCTACTGAATTATTGTCATCATTTGTGAAATTAAACCCAACTTGAGTTCCTGAATGTACAGCATACAGTAATTGGCATTGTTTGTAGATTGCGAATGAATGTCATATATGTATATTTCAAATGTGGTAGCACTTTTTATATATAATAGAATTTTCAAAATGACTTTACTCTATGCATAGTTGAAATATTTCTTTCAGTTAATATTTGCTTGCTTAGGGAAACAAAAGTCGATGTATGTTCTTTATTAAGAAATATGTAATGAAATGTTCTAGTTCATCACAATTATGGAATTAAATAACAGATTTGAATCTTCTGAAGAATAAGGTAATTGATGAGTTCATTCATTTTTACACAAATTGGTTTCAGGATCCTATCTCCTCCAAATAGAGATGCTGCTCACAAATTACCAAGAAATGGAATACAAAAGTAAGAAACTTGTACATATTCAATGTTTGGTAAGGACTCTTTGCCAGTATCAAATTATAAGTAAGTCTTCTGAGTAACCTTTGGGATAAATTGATCTATAATTAGAATATGGTTTTTGCATGCAACTTAGATATAAGAATACATAATGACTCTTGAGAACTACAGTTTTGTACTTCTCCACCTAATGGCAACTACATTGTCAGCATCCTTCATCCTGTTTTGACTGGCCTGGGAGAAATAGAGGAGTCAAAAATAGCCAGGGCCAACAATTTTGAAACACAGCCATTCTCTCTGTTCAAATTAATTATGATGAAATTAGTTATGTCAAGAGAGAGCCAACTTTCATGTGGAGAGTTGAGAGCTAAATCGATCTATGCACTGAACTATTATGCACCCACATGCTATTTACAGGACATTTATCCAGTAACTACCATATTAGTTTTCAATTAAAATAGCATACCTAATAGCACATTAGTATTATCATAAGTGATTTTCATACATAATTTTTGTTTATATTTGTTCAAATAATTTATTTTTTTTAAATAATCGAACCAACAGTAACATTGTTCTTACTTCAAACCATTTTCTGTTTTGTAAAAGTCAGATTTTTACGAGTATTATCCACAAACTATTTTAATCCAAACTTGCTAATTACAAATAAGATAAGGTAGCAGTCTTTTGCAAATGGACATAGAGCTCTAACCTACAAGTAAAAAAATAACTTGCTAAAGACATTTGATGCATGTACATCAAGCAACTCTCTCTCCCCTTGCTGAAGTGTCCAAGAAAAGTGCTTTTCAAAGTCAAGTATCTTCATTTCAACGTAATCCATCACCACGTATAAATCTACTTCAAATACAAAGAACATTATTATCACAAATTTTACCTTTCTCTCTCTTTGATGGCATTTAGGTTTTACTTCTTCCCACAAACCCAATTTACACAATTAAACTCACTTTTTATTTCTATGTTAATTTTTCTTTCTGATCAAATATTAATTTCTTTGGTAAATCAACAATTTACATGTTACTGGAGTGTTTTATGCTTCAGTAACACATATTTTTGTCTAGAAAGAAGTTTTGCACTTTTGAGTGTTTATTGCGGCTTAGCAATTTGGAATATTCAAGTAGTTTATTAGACATATGCTTAAAATTGTCTTAAGAGTTTAATTACAAAGTTTCGATGTTTCTTCCCCAGACACCTTGTATGTTGACACACACAGCTTGATTACTGGTGGAAGGCAACGGAACTGCGATCGGTACCTCAGGGACGAAATACAAAAAAACAACAAAAAAGCAGCAAAGAAACAAATAGCAACTTCAATGTTTAGTTTGACCAACCTTTATACACTCAAAATTAAATAATTTCCCATTAAATTGTATTATTTCGACGAATACACTGACAATGGTAAAAATGATAAAATATTATAAACTATTATTTAGTATATTCACACAGCCAGAGCTACCTCTGTTATTGTTAAGAAGTGTGATTTACAGGTATTAAATTACAACTATTTCTATTAAATTAATAATTAATTTGGGGCACACTTATAAATTAGCATATGTCTACAGAAGTGTTTGATTATCATAAAATAATCCTAATTTAGATTGTAATGAGAACTTAGTACATCTCAATTTCGAAGTATTTGCAAATAGTGTGTTTAATAGTCTATTTTATGATCACTTCACAAACTTTTTTTTATAATAAGAATGTTGATTGTCTTGTTCTTAAAATAAATCCTTTATTAGCTCAGGGATGAATTAAATTATTTTACTCACACACATTTTGTCTTATAGATGTAGAAATAAAATTCAAACTAGTGTGTTTTTACAGTACCTTTATTAGGAACCTCCCACAGAATTCACAGTTGACATCACAGTTAATCTTAGACATTTACACAATACATTTAGGAAGTTGTCATGAAAGTTCATAATGGATGTTTGACATTAATACTACTCTCAACTCTAATTAATATTAGAGGCGAGAGGAAAATTGTGACATAAGAGTAACACAGATAGTAATATGCTCAAAGAGGACAGTCAGCATTTGGTGAACTTAAGTTGAACACATCAGCTACACCTCTTCCTATAAAGCCAAACATGACAGTGACTGATGACCCCCAATGGTTGAAATTCATCTATTGCTCCTCCTTGTTGCTCGTAAACTTTTCTCAATTTCAAACTGACGTAAATCTGCTCTCTGAAGGAAATCTTGCTTCTCTAAGTATCTGCAAATTAAATGAAATAAAAATTAAGATATTCAAAGATACCTCAAAATTGTTTCAACAACAGATTTCAATTAATACACACCCATCTTTCCCACGATTAAATGTTCGAAGTTCATCTTCAATTCCTTCTGTTCTTTTGAAACGATCCCAATCCAACTTCGATTTTTCTAGTGTTCCTATTTTAGCTTTTTTACCTATCTGTCCTAATATGGAAGTCAATCCTCCAGCACCACGACCTCTCCCACGACCAGCAGGAGATCCAGATGAGCTTGATCCAACAGTCTTTGGTGCAGCTTGAACAATCCGTGCTTCTTTAGAGGCAACGTCAACCTCTTTAGTAACTCTAGAAATAAATAGTCTTTTAAGTACTTGCACAACATGGAAACCTTAAAGTATTAAGAACATTTTCATACTTGACTTCCTCTCCAGCAAATTCAAACACTTCTGTAATAATCACTTTGTTTTCTTTTTCTTCCTTCTTTGGTTCTTTTCCTTTTTTGTCTTCTGTTTCTTCATGCTTACTATTAACAGAAGTAATCTTCTTCGGCTGGGGCTTGGAAGATTTGGTATCGCTCATAAAATCTAGATAGACAAAGTCAATTAAATAAATATATTACAGTTTCATCATAAGTAAAAATAACCTACCTGCCCAAAGGGAATCTGCACGCTTCTTTTCTTCTTCTTCGGACAGGACTTTTTTGTCATTGCTTTCATTGTTGTCAGTATCATCATCCTTTTCTTCAGTATTCACATCTTCTTTCTGAGTAGATTTCCTGATACAGAAATAAAATAAATAAAATGTCTTTTATCTTTTTGTCGTTATTCTCTCTCTCTCATATCTGAAACATAAATTTGTTGTAGCATTCTTCAGGACACTGTGCATGTGAAATTACTCTGCAAAACCCTTAAATTCTGAGATAAAATATAATTGCATAGTAGCACTGACACTTACATCCCTTAATACCTATATATTATTGTAAGTTCATCAGGAAGTGTAGTTTATTATAATACTTTGTACAAAATGAGAAAACCTATCTCTATGACCATTACAAGAGAAAGTGGTTAACAAAAAAATTATTCACAATGGAAGTGCCATTGTATTAGTTTAGAGCAATACATTAACCAATTTGCTTCTTCTGAGGTCTCCCAGATGTCATGACGGAGAATGACCTTTCCAACTTTTGACCTGTGAGTGTTGGGTCTGCACAGTACTCAGTTGCTAAAAATGGAGTCCTACCCAGAATGTATGTATTGAGTTTCTATTTACAATTTATTCTTGTGTGTTGAAATTTGATGATCTCATGCATATTTTTAGACCTATCATAATTTTTAAATTGAAGTACTGCAGAAAGAAGGTGCAGAAGCATCAAAATCTGAGGGGAAGGCTTATGCAATGAGGGGAAAATCTGAGGCGAATGGGTTAATACACCAAATTAATATTTGAAATATCAGCCACTTTATAAGCATCGTACCTGCCTTTCTTCCTGGCCTTCTTTTTTGATGCTTTCTGACCTTTCTTTCTTTTTTTTGAGTTTGGATCCTCTTCATCACTTTCTGAAGGGTCCTCATCATCACCTTCAGACTCTACTTCAGATGGCAAATTACCCTCAGCACCTGTAAGACAGAAAAAAGTTTACAGAACTATGTCATATAAAAAGTTTATACAAGATGAGAATCAAAGTGTACCTGGCGGGACATAATCCTCATCGCTGTCATCTGAATCAGATAGTAGATTTGGCTCTTCTTTACTAAAATCCATAAATGGAATACTGTCAGCTGTTTATTAAAAGCTGAAATAAAAGCAAACAATCCCTCACTTAGTTATGAAAGGCAAATAGGGCACACACATACGTACTTCTCAAAGACTAGGCGATTTCAACACGCATGTATGAAAGAAAACAGGACTGCAGCCTTGAATGTTACTTCCGTATATTTACTTCCGTAACTTTATATACCCCGCATGTAAAGAATAAACTAATGAAACCAATATAAAAAATAAATGATCTACGCTTTTCATACCTTATTTGCTTTGAAAACAAATAGATTTAATCTTCTCCGGCACCGGCTCAATCGACAAAGGAAAACATTAAAATGCAACAGCAGCGGCACAGTGGTGTTTCAGGTAGTTCAGGAAAAGAGCGAAGGTCTACAGCAGTGCTGCCAATACCGTGTAGTTGTTTGTGGTTTTACATGTATTGATAATTTTTCAGTCATTGAATGAAATCCTGCGAAAAGAGTGAAATACGATGAAAACGATTGTCATTTGAAATGCGATATTTCATTAATAGTGCAACTGCGAAGCTAGAAAATATGAACCATAAGATTTAAGTGCAGTAGTTTGCATGCATTTTGATATCGCTTTTCAACAGGCAGTTGTTCATATCATCGAAAATGGTGTAAGGTACGTGCGATAAGGACTATATGTGTTTTCACAGGCATCAATATGTGTTGACACTGTGTCGAAATAAATCAGAAGAAAATCATGTTCCCTGCGAAACGGTAAAAAACTACTTTGTCATAGTTTTAGCGGCTATACACAACTTGTTTCAGATATTAAGAAAGTAAATTTTCTGCGATGACATTAAGAAATTCGGACAATAATTTTGAGACTGCGGATATTATTTGAATATATCAGCATCTTATTGTTGTATAGCCAGGTAAAAAATATTTTTCAGAAATAATGATCACTTCACTTTATTGCACTGTTAAGGTCCCCTTCTGGCACTGTACTACATCAAAATGGGATTATCAGAAAGAAATATATACGGCACTTGAATGAAATCAACTTGAAGTAGGCCTACATTTTCCTGGACTGGACTTACATCCCATCCAGAATGTCCGATGACTCAAAGACATCTGATACAGATGTTGTCCCAGGTTATATTACATCTCAATCCCTTACCACTTTCCCTGGTAAGTATTGAAAACACTATTGAGAGAATGTCCTGTGTGTTTTGGTTAAATGAGTTAATTTTTTTCTTTATAGTATTAATATTATGAAATTCCCCTTTTTTGTATATGTAGAGATGTGGTACCAGATTTTCCTGTGGGCCCTACTTTCATCATTCTTTGTCCATGTTGTGGCTGCTGGAATAGCCTTTTTAACACTCAGGAAGCATGTGTATGGCAAGTAAGTCACAATAATTTTATTTTTAATGTTAGAAGAGGTTGTTTATAATTTTGTATCACTAAACAGGGACCAGGGGGTTTGATTAAGCATTACAATGCAATACACAGGGTTAGGGGTGTTAGTTCAGTACTATGTAACACTGACATTTACGTTTTTCTTGTTTCAATATTTACAAAAATATTTTCAAGTTAATGAAGGTGAAAGATGACTGTTGTGTAATTGCAATAGATATATTTCAACCTAAGAAGGATGATCTCAGGACATTTTTTTCTAATCAGAGATCTTCAGATCTCTTAGGACATTTTCTTTCAGATATGAAATATTTAACTTCTTTGATTATTATAAATTTCAATTTGTAACACAAGTAAAATTATTGCCAATTTTTTTTGTACCCACATAATTTATTTTTCTGATTATATATGGGGGATTTACTCAAGCTTTATGTAATTGTTTAAGGGCCTTACGCTCATTTTACAAGTACAATACATGAGAGAGGGAGTGTACGGAATACCTCAAATTTACTTTGTAGTTTATTTATTACTTGTAAGTGATATTTTCGCAGAGCAGGAAAAAAATTCAAATGTGTGGGAAAATGTATTGGGTAAATTGTAAATGTGGCATGTAGATTCTTTTGTTATTTCATTTATTGATGTTTCACATTTTGACTAAAGAGAAACAAGATGTGTTGAAATATTGATTGTAAAAAAATTGAGTGAATACATTTATTTTTGTTAGAGTTCTACTGTATTACAATCCATAATAATAGTGTTGAAGAAAGGTTGTTCAGAATTTTTTAACATTAGCATTTATGTTTCATGATTCTCTCTTTTTAAAGCAGTGAACTAATTCAATTTGTTCCAAATCAAATAATATTTTCTCTTTCCTTGCAGATTTTTTCCAATTTTTATTCTGGTCATGGGTGTTTTGTCTCCCTTAACATCAGGTGTGGTCAGCAGTGCTGCTGTGGCCTTCGTGTATCGGGCTTCCAATTATCAGATGGCACCACTGTATGCACTCCTATGGGGAGTTGGTCAGACTGTTGTTTCTGCCTGCATAGGTTTTACTCGAATACTAGCTACATTATAACATACACAGTGTCCTGATATTAGGGGTAAGCAGCCCAAAAGTACCATAAAAGACTTCAGATCTCTCATCTTGATCTTTCTGTGCACTTTTTGTTTCTACTATATCTCTATCTTGTCTTACTTGTGCATTTATCATCACTGTGTATCCACAAAACATGAAGAAAGTGGTTTGCATGATAGTCATGAAGTTATGACTCTGATTTTAAATAAAAATTGGATTTTGTTACACCTAATGATAATCTACTGAGCTTCTTGAACTGGTGTTTTTGAGTTTGTTTCTTTCAGTGCTCTCAAGAAAATTTTTAAAAATTTCCATACCCAGTGTTTTCTTCTCAAATAGTTTGATTTAAGAGATTCTGAAAGTTGGATGGTCCATGATGGTACATATATCCATCCAGTATATTGATTATGAATATTAGAATGTATCAATTATTAACATGCCAGTGGTTTTCCAAGTACAAAGACATTACTCACAATTTGAGTCACTCGTCATTTTAAAGGATAAATGTGGTTCTTTTGATTGTAATTTTCTCATTTATAGTTCTAGAATATTAATTAGTTTGATATAGTATGTCAATATTCTGTTAGAAACTTTTTTGTACATTGTGTAGTGCACTTGAAATATAACATCGAGCTTAAAATGATTTGTTCACTAGCTTGTAGTTGGATTATTTCTTATATCTATTATCACTATTTTGTGCCATCAACTTGAGTCTCAAGCCAGGAACAAGAGCTCAGTACTTATGAATAGTTGCAATCTACAACCCCTTTTCTGAAAGAATCTGTCTCTTTTATATGTTGTACTTACATCTTCAAATTTGCACATAAATGCCATGTATATACATTGAAAAAATTTGTAAATACGTATTAATAACTTGTAGTATAAATATTGTATAATATTTTGTGAATATGGCCAGTGAATTGCATAGGTGGTCAATAGTGGGCATTTTATCTTGTATCATTTACTATTTTTTAATTACTATGTATAATGTATTAAAACTTGTTTGTGTTACTTGTTATTCATGTACCATCCATATTAGTACATCCATGTATAGTCCATTGAGAAAATTTCTCTGTTGATTTTGGGAAAAGTATGTTAATTGCACAATGTTACCTTCACAGCAAACTCTGAGGTAATGTGGACCATTGATGCAGCTGTATTTACTAGATATGGTGTCTATGTGCCTCAGAAATCTGGTGCAAAATGTGTTGTGACTAAAAAGTTGTATGACACAAGCAATTATTAATGTGGTTTTGATAAGGAATGTCATATATGTCATAGTTAAGAGATCTCTTATTGTGACCTTTTTAGGATGGTCAATAATACGTATAAATATTTATTGCTAAGGTGCCGAATTAGTTACTGTTATGGAAGAGAGAATGACTGGTAAACATATATCATTGCCACTAAGTACATGTAAATGAACATTTTTGCTAGGGCGTATTGCCAAAAATAAATGAATATGATTATTGCATATATACTGCATGTGATGATACTATGGAGAACAACAACCATATTTTTCCTACAATATCAAGACTGTTTTGTTTATTAAAACATGAGTGTGCTCGTTTATAGTAGATGATACAGTATTATTCCATAGAAGGCAGCGATAGTATGTTGAAACATTTTGTTACAGAATGTTAAATATATTTAATGTTAGAACTCAGTAGTCAACCAAATAATCGAATTTCGTGACAATGTACTGAAACATACAAGCACCATATTTTACATTTATGGGCAGCATTTCCATATTAATAAGTTTTTATAACAATCAGTGTGGTGATTTATTATCAGTAATCAAAAAGTATTAGCTGATTAGTCATCAGCACATGTTTTTAAATAAAGCATTCTGCAGAATTCAAAATTTGTGTTTCTCTAGCTTTATTAAATGCCCTTTTTTAAATTATAAATTTAGAATGAGTAGTTTGGTTACAAAATTTATTATTCTCAAGTTATAGGGTTAGATCTTTTGATAAGAAATGTATTCCTAAATTGAAGTGATTGTGAGAGTGGAATTTTATTTTGTGAAGAGATAATATGTGATGTTAGATGATATGAGGGTCAGTAATCAGCAATTACATGGCCAATTCATATACTTGGATAGGTCTAGCATCTGGAAGGTTATGAATTTGTCTTTTGATATGGGAATCCTCTTTTGACTGTGGGACCAAAGTAACTAAAGAGGATCTCTTAAGATTCTTGTTGAAGTAGAATTAAAAATTCTGGTCCAAGTAAATGTCAACATGGAATTATGAACGTAATTAAAATGTTTGTCATGCATTTGTGCTTTTTAGATGCAGCATAATAGCTTGTGGTATTAAATTATACAAAACAATCCAGAAAAGCTTCAATTTGCTCTGCTAAGATAGTTCAAGGAATATGTTAGTGGGTTTCAATAAATTGACTTAATAGATGCATTCCTTGTTTTTGTCTGTCCTAATTTGCATGCTGTATTTATATTTTTGGTGTATGTAGTGTATCACTGCTTTGTTAATTGAAGTTCACTTGTTTTGTACATTTTTGAAAAAATATGTTAATTCAGTGCATGAGAATATGTATCTCTGTTGTGTGTCAAATATATTATTTTTTATTTATTTACAGCATTTATTTTAATGCTTTTTATTTGTATTTGATGTATTATAAAAAAGTACATGTACTGTTAAACACCAATTAGCTGTTTCAAGCATGTTTTCTAAGAAATTCAGAATATTTAATGTGCTGTTGATAATGCTGTGATGAAAGGGGGAAACTAGAAATGTAAATATATCACAATGTTGCCATATACTTCAATCTGAATTCAATAACAAATTATTTTGTGTGTTTAGTTGTCTTTATTATCACAAAATAAAGATTGCATTTCTTGATGATATAAAGGCTTTTTACTTTTTTCAGTAATATTTTGTTATGATTAAGTTTTGTAAAATATATGTTTACAAATTAATTGTACTTGGAATACATTATTGTATAACTTTTTTAAACTAATCTTATATTCAAGCACAATTTTAATAATGCATGTAGCACAAGAAATATTGCGGAAATCATTTAAGTGCTTTGCTCAGAACATTTTTCATCATATTTCAAATATTTTGCCTAACAAAAGTTATTCAAACTTTAGTAGGAACAATTCATATTTACAATAATAATTTACATCTTTTAAGGAAACAAAAACATAAACATATATTATACAAAAATTACAAAAAAGGCTATTCAGAAACAGGAATACAAATATTAATTCTTGGAGAATGTTTTGGGCAGCCGATTCGTTTGTAATGGCGCCATATTAGTTGCATGCCCTGCAGGGAACATGTTGGTAGCAGTGCGAAATAACAGCAATTGGATACACTCTGCGCTAATGATACACTTCTTGATGTGTATAGGTGAGGGAAGCGATGTGATTAGTTATATTCTTTGGTATACATGAAGAAAAGAGAAAATGAGGGACGTGTGTATTGGTGTGGAATTTTTCAGATTTTTAATTTTCGTATTTTACTAAGAAATTAACAAATTTAGTATGGAATATAGTGATTGAAGTTTAGAACGCTTCTTTTACGTGCCCCGTAATTTTGAAATATACTGTAATAATGGCGACTGAAAGTCAAATAACAAACATTGTGAATGATATTTTGGTAAGTGGCAAGACTTCTCGGCTTTACCTTCATTTGTAGTCGACAGTACAATAAAATAAGTTCTCGATGTATCTGTTATTTAGAGAGTAGAAAGCATTGAAGAAGCCTTTAGCTGCTACTTAGTCCACCGTCCTGAACACGAAACCGAGAAAATTACCGGTTTCCAACAAGATTTACAAAATGCATTGAGTGGATTAGGTACGGAACAGCAAGAGGCCGGAGTGAGGCAGTATCTTGTGATGGCAGCAAGCATGACAAATCATAGTCGTCTCACACTACTACTCACTCTTCTGGAAAATTTGGTCTCCAACAACATACTCCCTGCCAGGTATGTATTGCTGTTTATATTAAATATTTGAGTTACTTATGAGCTTATTGCATTTAGTTTTTCTTATTACAACTAATGATGGAATTTGTGAAATGGAACCGCAAAAGGGATAGTCATTGCTAGATTGTAACTTATAAATTGAAACAGTTCAAATGTTTGATATGTTTGAAGAAAATTTGATTGGGAGAATGTTTTTGTATTTGAGCAATATACATTCTGTACACAAAATTGTTCCCTTTAAATCGATAATGGAGAGGCATAAAAGAATGCAGGTGTATGAGGTGGACTATTAAGAAATTTAGTGATAGGAGAAATTCAATAAATCGTGAAATAAAAGCTGGATATGATTTTTTTAAGAACAGCTAAAGAAAGTTCGGGAGCATGGTTATTTTCTTTTTAGTTATTCCTGAATGTATATTGCAGTCCCTTCCCCCCTTAAAATCAACAAACTTTAATGTATTTATATTTTACTTGCTGAGGTACTGTGGATTGCTTGGGTATTTATGGAAAGGTTGTGGGTAATATTTACAAAATGTCATAGGTAACTTTTCTCTAGTTTTGATGGTCACACAAACAAAATTTCATGAAGATAGGAGTTAAGTATATATTTGTATGAAAAAACAAACTGAAAAAATCCTTTATACAAGAGAAACTAATAATTTGAAGAAACAAAGAAAGAAAGAAAAATTCGCCTAAGTTATGTCAAACAAATGTCACATCAAAATCTGTTTAGCTGTCTTAGTTTACCCCAGAAAAAACGGACAGATTCAATTGAATTGGTATTTTTATCTAAACAAGAATAGAAATGATTAAAAGCCACTTATTTTGAAATTAAAAGATGTACACAGCTTTATTTATATAGATAATATACTTCATTAAATTGGAAGGCAAGAGTTAATTTTTGTTGTTGAGAAATCTGCTTCAGGAAACTGATTACCCCAACACATTTCAAGAGCTAATTGTCATGTTTATTAAATTTTCTCCTTTCTGTCCAATATAAACCACTCAAAATTATTAGTTTATAGTCAAAGAGAATGGAATATATACATGTTTTTGTTTCTTAAAACAAAACAAAAAGTTGAAAAGACACTGTTTTCAAATTGACATTGACCAAATGCTGTAATAATTTATTTTTTGATTCAGGATGGTTTGTGAATGCATTTTGGCATGTGAAAAATTGGTGTATCAACAGGGAGATTTTTGGATTGAATGCTTTAATCTTATTCGACGAATAATTGGTGGTGTGGACTATAAAGGTGTTCGTGAAATTATGAAGGTATGCTGTAGTGTGCACATTGTGTTTACGTTCCTTAAAATTAGGGTACCTTCTATTCTTCTTTATTGTTTTAGGGGTGTCGAGAAAAAGCTCAGACAATTCCTACAAGGCTGAATGCATCAGTGATACCTCAGTTGAAAGCATTGGAAAATGTTATCGAGTACATTTTTGATAGGAATGCTTGTTTATTGCCGGGCTATTTCATTGTAAATGAAATCCAGAAAGCATATCCAGACAACAAAAATTGGCCTCATTGGGTAACATAAAATATTTAATTATTAGTTCTGCTTTTAAAAACTGAATTTCTGATGCACATAATTGACTCTTCATTTCTAAATTAGAAATTGGCTTACCTGCTGTCAAGCTTTGTGGAGAGTTTTCGGCCTACAGCTCAAATGGTGTCTATAATAGGTCACTCAAAAATGTTACCAGTAGTTGAACATTCAGGATATGCTGATCATCTTATAAATCCATGGAAACTTGATCCCACAACACTGAAATTTAGCTTGAAGGGAAATCTACCATATGACAGAGAACTTCTTGAACGTCAAACTGGTCTACTGAGATATGTTTTGGAGCAACCATACTCCAGGGACATGGTTTGCTCCATGTTAGGACTGCAGAAACAGGTAAGATAGAATTTCTTGATTTAAATTTGTTTCTTGTAAATTTAAACATTGAAGTAAATGCATATTTAAAATAATTCAAGGGGAAGTAAAAATATGTTTGAAACCACAAAAACATGAAAATTGTTGTTGTGTGATTTTTTTGCTGTGTATGTGTATTTTGATATTTACATCTTTTAGCACAAACAGCGTTGTGTGGCTTTGGAGGAGCAACTTGTGGAGCTGGTCATCATTGCTATGGAAAGGTCTGAAACTGAAACAGAAACTGATGATGTGACTAACAGCCATTGGTTATGGTTACACCTGTCCAGTCAACTTATATACTTTGTACTATTTCAATTTGCAAGTTTTCCAAATATTGTTCTTGCCCTACATGATAAGGTAAGAAATATATGGAAATGAAGATTTCGTGTTTTGTTGGTACTTTTTTTGAGGATTACTGAGTGTGTTTGTTTCAGTTGGCAGGACGTGATTTGCGAAGGGGAAGAGACCATTTGATGTGGGTTCTTCTTCAATTCATTTCAGGCAGTATTCAAAGAAATCCAGTGAGTTGAACCTTGAGATCAGTATTAACTTTAAATGGAGTACTGTATATGTAGGTTTTCTTGATATTCCACCCTGGGGCTGCAGAGAGAGGAAGGCTTGGCATATATTACTATTTGGAATGGGACATGCCAGCTATTAAAGTGAACTTCACACACCACTAAGCATGAGAGCAACATACACATGACAGCAGTCACAGTCACATTCACATTCCATGTTCCTTGCAACTTGTACAGTCTCATCATTGAATGCTATTTCTAGTTCCTATTTCATCTTTATTTTCCTGTATGTCATCTTGTCATCCATAGTCATCTTCGTATTCCTGTATGAATGTAACTGTAAGATTGAAGACAAATAACTATCACCTTTCAGGAGCCTTTTTATTGCAAAATCAAACTATTTGAACTTATTAATCTGTATTTTTGTATCAAATTTAAAAAAAATTATTCATTTATTTGGATCACAGTTGATTCCACTCTTCCTTAACCTAGTATAACCTATCAATAAACTTTGACAGATGAAAAAGCAGGTATCATTTGGAGGAAAAGTAATGAATAAATAAATCTAATTGTGAATCATAATTGTGGAACTGAAGAAAAGCCAGAAAGTTGTTATTGCAAAATGCTAATAAGCACACCGACTCAAGAAACAGAATTTGAAGTAATTTAAAGGAATTGTGAAGTTCATGGAAATTTGTACATGTTGTCCCAAGTTGAACCTAATTTCCTCAATGTGCGAAGCTATTTAGAGCTGGGCAAGGCCTATCAGCTTTGAGTATTACGGAAATTTGTGCATATAGTACTCGGATTTTCTTGTTTTATGTTACTGTAAGTTATTACTGTCAATTAAATAGTTTAATGTGTAATAAAATGCCTATGTAAAGTACATGCAATGAAAGAATTATTGTGAAAAGGTTGAAAGATAATGGGAAAGAAAGAAATTTTTTCTCAATTCAATGCTCATTATTGCTGTATAATGAATTAGGATTTTTTAATTTTATATCTTGAACACTAGAACATCCAAAAGTATTTTGAAGGGGATGGTGTTTCATTTTACAATTAAATTTCAGTTTTTGTTTTGAAAATTGTAATCATTTACGGGACTGCTGAAGTTTAAGATATGTTCTGTTTTATGTATTCTTAAAAAATATATAAAACTGCAATTTGTGTATAACTTTTGACATACTTTGTCCACTTGTGTCATTTTGACACCAACAAGACTTCACCAGGGCTGTACCAAAGACATTGAATGACTGCGTTACTTAGCCCCTGGTTGATATTGCTAGGTTTTCAGTGAGCTTTTAATGGTCTTTTTTTAAATTTTTTGTTGACTTTTGATTTTATTTTCACGATTTTTGCCAGCATTTTTCAAGAACAGTACAACTTTTTTCTTTTTGAAGGTGGTGATAGCTCAACTAACCTGAGATCAATTAAATTTATTATGTCAGTCTCTTTCTAAAATGTGTATCATAGAGGATTTAGTTCTGCTAAGATTCTATGGGTCTTGCTAGATTATATAGCGAAAGAAAAGTATTAGGAAACTATATGAAATTTTATTTGCAAAAAATGTTTCTGTGTTGACTTTGTTATTGGCTGCTGATTTCACTTTCTTATCATTTTGACATAACATGTATTTTTCTACATTTGTAAAACCAAAATATAAAAAAAAAATGGTTGTTTTCTTTTATACCAAAAAACGTAATATAAAGCAGTAAAACAATTAAATGTGTTACTGTCACAGTAATCAGCTAAAGGTTGAAGTGAAACAATGGGGGAGAAGCTAGGAAGAGAATAAATAATTTTTTTGTGTAAATAATATTACAAGTTAAAATTTGCAAAATTGTCATAAAATAATTTTTTTTTTTTGGCACTACACTTCAATTTATTCCATGTCCTTTGTCAGGTCATCAATTGTTATGGTGTCATCCAATCTGGAGCTTAAAGATTACCATAGTGACGTCAAGCTCCCGATTGAATGACACCGTAACAGCTTGATTTACTTCAAAGGACTCTGTTTAAATCAAAGTGTAAATATACAGTATCTACTTACATTTTTAAGGACTTAATTTTTTTACTGTGATTAAGTATGCTTTCTTACTAGTTGTATTATGTTTTGCAGTTGAACAACTTTTTGCCAGTTCTCAAATTGTATGATCTGCTATACCCAGAGAAAGAATCACTTCCTGTGCCAGATTTTAGTAAAGCATTGTGTACTCATCAGATGGCAATGACTTGTATATGGATCCATTTATTGAAAAAGGCTCAGTCGGATCACTTGAACATCCATCGCCCTATTCCACTTACGTTGAAAGGTCACCATGAGTAAGTAGATTTGATATTGATTTTTAAATTTTTAATTGCGTAGCGGTGTTCATATACATTTTACTATGAGAGGTGATAGCAAACCATTTCAATTAATTTGATCAATTATGTTAATAAATTGGACATGGAGAAATGCTCTTTTAATATCTAATAACAATTAAATTTTCAATTGCATTATCTCTTAAACATTTATGGAAGAACATTTCCGGAGAGAAATTATGTTCATGATGGTAGGGTGGTATGCTACAAAAGATTTTTCACTTTATGAAACATTATTTTGCATATTAAAAAAGATATATCATTTCTCTTCATTTACACTGTCTCACATATGAAAATATTTATTTTATTTACTTGTTTAAGAAGCTCATTTCTCAGTTAGATACTAAGATTTGTAACTTAGTGAAATGGGTAGATGTATCCTGAGAATATATTCCTGAATACTGAGAATTTACTCTTGTGCATTCAGCGTGTTAGCTATTCCAGATGTAATTGATTATATGATGGAGTGCCAGCAGTCTTAATTTCTAATAATTCAAATCAAATGTCTAATTGTCATAACTTCCCAATTTGAACATTAAATTAGTACCAGATAAAATATTAAAAATTGATTTGTAATTTTTACAGGTTTCTTCAACATCTTGTGATGCCAAATAATCCAGCTTTGTGTATGGGGTCTGACTACAGAATTGCATTACTTTGCAATGCTTACTCGACAAATCAGGAATATTTTTCAAGACCCATGGCTGCTCTTGTTGAAACAATTTTGGGCACACAAAAAGGTCCCCAACAGCCTCCTCTTCCTCCTATGGCCAACAACGCTGCATTGGCCAATGGTCCAACTACCCCGTTGTCTATGTCCATATTGGATTCTCTAACTGTGCACTCAAAGATGAGCCTGATTCACAGTATTGTTACACATGTTATTAAATTAGCCCAAGCAAAGTCAAATATGGCTTTAGCACCAGCTTTAGTTGAAACATACAGCAGACTTCTTGTGTACACTGAAATAGAATCTCTTGGAATTAAAGGTTTTATTAGTAAGTATAAAATAATTATATATTTTACTGATAGTGATTTTCATATTATATTGGCATAGAGAATACATTTGTTATCATTTTGAATTTGGTTTATAATACACTTTTGTAATCTTGTAGGTCAGTTACTTCCTACAGTGTTCAAATCCCATGCCTGGGGAATTTTATATACATTGTTAGAAATGTTTAGTTATCGAATGCATCACATACAACCTCACTACCGAGTGCAACTACTGTCACATCTCCATAGTTTAGCAGCTGTTCCACAGACAAATCAAACACAACTCCATTTATGGTGAGTTTCATTTCTAAATTGACCCTTCTCAGTATTATATTCCACAAAAACATTATGTGGAACTCTTTTTCTACATGTTCTTTTCAATGATAAATGCCTTAGTTACTATTTTTTTGTTCCTTTTTTAGTTTTAGGAAGCAAATTGATGAGTTATTTCATTAGGTAAATATTCAATATTTTTGTTTCAGTGTTGAGAGTACAGCATTACGTCTTATCACTGGACTGGGTAGTGCTGAAGTTCAACCACAGCTTTCTCGTTTTCTCAGTGAACCAAAAACATTAGTATCTGCTGAATCTGAGGAGTTGAATCGTGCTTTAGTACTGACACTGGCTCGCTCGATGCATGTTACTGGCACAGGTGAAACTACTCAATGTGCTTATTAGTGTAGAATAACTTCATTTTTCCATTGCCTTAAATATCATTATCTTGCCTTTTTAACTAATAAGTTTGGTTAACAAAAAAGTCCAAGATATATTTTCATAATTTCCTTGTACCATAGATCAATATCAATTTTTCAAGTATAAAGTCAAGTATCAAATATGAAATAATTTTTATTATATTTCTACATTTTTTTAATGGTTAAATATTATTGTCTTCAGGTTCAGATGCATTGTCAGGTACATGGTGTAAAGATTTGTTGAACACCATTATGCAAAACACTCCTCATAGTTGGGCAAACCATACGTTGCAGTGCTTTCCTCCTGTCCTCAATGAATTTTTCCAGCAAAACAATGTTTCTCGAGAAAACAAGCAACAATTAAAGGTAAAAGATTTTATAATTTTGTACATAGTACAAGTAAACAAATCATTTGCTTTCTTCTTAAAGAGCTTGAGGCATGTGTGCTACCTAAAAATGTAGTCAGTTAATTTTACAAGCAAACTTTTGATGAACTATCTTAATACATTTTTTTTTTTATTTATTCATTAGAAATATTTGCAACATATGTAGAAAACATTGTTATTACCACGGAGCAAAGGAAAACTATCTTATTACTTATAATGCACTTTACTGTCTGTTACATAAGATAATTTAAATTTTACAGAAAGCTGTGGAAGAAGAATACAGAAATTGGACCTCAATGAATAATGAAAATGATATTATTGCACATTTCTCTGTGCCTGGAACATCACCACTCTTTTTGTGTTTGCTCTGGAAGATTATTTTGGAAACTGAAAGAATTAGTCCAATTGCATACAAGTAAAGATAACTTTTTTATTGTGGAGTTTTAGAAACACTTAAGCAGTAGTGTTGTTCAGTATACTGTCTGTAGGAAAATATTGTCATGTATTTTGTTTGTGCAGGGTGTTGGAAAGAATTGGTGCAAGGGCATTATCTGCACATTTGAGAAAATATTGTGATTACCTCGTATTTGAATTTGCAAATTCAGGAGGAGGCCAACATGTGAACAAATGTGTAGATGCTATCAATGACATGATTTGGAAATACAACATTGTTACAATTGATAGACTTATTCTTTGTTTAGTAAGTATGATACACAGCAGTAGTTCACTTATTTGTAGAATGGAGCCTAGTGTTTATTTCCAGTTCTAAATATTAATATTACTGAATATAAATTGAAGTTTTGTTGATACGAAAATGATCAACTGAATTGAAAAAATTATGAATTTGTTTAAACTGTTGATGAGCTGGCCTTGTATTTTGATGACTGTACACAATTTTGAAACATTGTGATAACTTCATATTATGTCAGTTTTAAATGTTTGCCATAATTGCATGCCATGAAGAATGTGATCCTTTTACTGATATTTTTTAGCAATACTTATATGTTTACAGTTCCCGATCGTTACTTCCAGATAATAGAAATATACTTGAATTTGAGAAATTCTCTGTCAAATTCTGTTGTTGTTGTTTTTAATTTGAACACATTTATTTCTTCTGCATTTTACAAGTAGTAGTGAGCATTCAAACTTTCCATATATTTGCGATTTAATTATAGTCTATATCCTATTAATACCTAATGGCATGCATTGATTATTTTCTTTGAAAGAAGTGTTTTATACATGTCTTCACCCAATGTTTTGAAATCTTTTGAGAAGTATTATCTACATATTATCTCTCTTGTTCTTGTAAATGGTGGTGTTTGTAAAAATTGTTTTCCATTAATTGGGTTTGTAAATTGTGACAACAGATATTTAGTATTCAGTAAGAAAAGTATTTTGTAAAGGTTTATATCTTCCAAACCTGGCCAATTTGTGAAATCTGTTTTGTCACTTGTGTCAAGTCAACATTATTGAATTCCTTTAAATTGTTAAATGGTACTAAAAATATTTTTATCATCATTATATTTTAAAGTTTTGAACCTAGAGATATTATTTTAATAATTTTTCTCCGATTATTTTCTCAAATATTAATTTTTAATACTTATATTGTCACTCCAATAACATCATTAATGAGTGATATATTGGAAGTAATTGCTATCCATGTTGTTACTGTGTTAATTGTTAATGTGTAGCAGTATTAATTGAGAGCAAAAGACCCTTCAAATAGGAATTCAAACCAGGTCTTCTGGTTATAATTTACAAGATCTTGATATATATTTCTGTGGGATTAAGGCAGAATCTGATATGCCTAAAAGTTGATTTTTTTGTTATTTGATAATTAATATTTTTTTATCTGGTAAAATTTTGGGGTGTTCTACCATAAAGGAAGAGAATGTCAGTTGAGAAACACCTTAATGGTCTTGCCACATTTTTTTACATAAAATCTTAATTTCGGCAAACCTGAAACCTTTGGAAAGTGTATTTTGAAAAATCAATTTATTTTTCATTATGTGTTTTGCCTTAGTACCACAAATTTGTGATAATAAATTACTTATTCAGAGTAAGTATTTAATGGTCTGATGATTTTGTCATGATCTGACAGTTAAGAAATATTGACTTACACTACCTACAGAACTAATATTATGCTAATATTTAATCCTTTGTAGGCTCTACGAACACAAGAAGGTAGTGAGGCACAAGTATGCTTTTTCATTATTCAACTTCTCTTACTAAAAGCTGCTGAATTCCGCAATAGAGTGCAGGAATTTGTGAAAGAAAACTCTCCAGAACACTGGAAACAGTCCAATTGGTAGGTTCATTGATACTTTTTTAATTAAAGCTATGTATTAACATAACTAATGAATGTTGTTTAACTTTGCGAAGTCATTGTTTTTGGTTTTTGTTTAAGGCATGAAAAACACCTTGCTTTTCATCGCAAATATCCTGAAAAATTTGCTCCAGAAGGAATTCTGGAACAAACAGGAGGTCCTTCCTCGCCTTATCATTCTTTGCCTGTATATTTTGGAAATGTGTGTCTGAGATTTTTGCCCGTGAGTTTCAATTGTTGTATTATAATGAATATTTGTGAAAAAATATGTGTACCTGAACTAATTGATGGTTTTTACAAATTTACAGGTCTTTGATATTGTAATACATAGATATTTAGAACTTCCTCCAGTTACAAAGTCTTTGGAAACTTTACTGGAGCATTTAGGCTGTTTGTACAAATTCCATGGTAGGAATAATCTTCAACTGTTCTTAATACAGTTTCATATTTTAAGTAAATACAAATAATAAATAAATCATAATTTATTTTTATTATTAGATCGTCCGGTTACGTACCTGTACAACACATTACATTATTATGAACGCAAGCTGCGAGACAGACCACCACTGAAGAGACGCCTGGTTTCTGCAGTTCTGGGTTCTCTGAAGGATATCAGACCTCCTGGTTGGAGTTTATCTGAAGCCTATCAGACATATATGAAACAGAATGATGAAAGTAGTTGGGTACCAGAGTTGGATTATTATATTCGTCTTGTCCGAAGAATTGTGGACAGTATCCTTGTATCAATGTATAAACTTTTAGAAACTATGCTGACATTTCTTAAAATTTGTTTGTTCTTTAATTGATGAAAGAATGGTATGATTGTTTCCTTAATTCCTAAATTCAGCTATGTCTGGAAAACCTCAATTTCCTACCACAGATTGGAGATTTAATGAATTTCCTAATCCTGCAGCTCATGCTTTATACGTCACATGTGTGGAATTGATGGCTGTGCCAGTAACACCAACAATGGTTGGTAACAATTTGCTTGACGTTGTCTCCAAAGGGTAAGTTTTTAATAAGTATACAAATAAAATGTTGAATTTGTTGTATAGTTCTTAAAAAGATTTAAATGATTTTCTTATTCTAGGTACACCGTTATTCCATATAATCAAATTCATATGTGGATTAATTCGGTTGGATTAATTATGGCTGCTTTACCTGACTCTTACTGGTCAGTGCTTCATGAAAGGCTTGTTGAAGTCATGACTTGTCCTCAGCTCATGCAATGGAATTATCGTAACACACCATTTCAGTTGTACAACTTCTCAGCAACCCATGATTCTCTCTTGGAGAACAAGTTTTCTTACACTTTGGCACTTGCTCATTCAATGTGGCATCATGCTGGTGTAGGGCAGATAGCTACTGTACCACAGTATGTATTTTTTTAAGTATTACCTTTCACATTTGGTAGTACCTTTAAAATTATGTTAAACATTTCTTTTATTTCTCATGCTTTCTAGATTTGTGAAAGAAAAGGTTCACCCAGTTGTGAAAACAGAAGAACAGTTCTTGTTCTTGTGTCATCTTGTGGGCCCGTTTTTGCAGAGGTTCAATACTGATAGACCTCGTTGTGTAATGGAATTAACTGTTGAATTGTATGAACTACTTGAACAAGTGGACAAAAATGTTACACATATGAACTACATGGACCCGATTTGTGATTTATTGTATCCTTTTCAGAGAGATAGTATCTATGTTTTTTTTCAGTGCAACTTATATTCTCATATATTTGGTGAAAAACAGGAAATTTTTTATTAAAATTGGCACCATATAATTTTGTCTATCATGGCATGTTTTATTCTATAAGTGGGTACTGGGTTTGAAACATAATTTAATGAAATTTTTCCATTGCAACATCTTAAAAGGAATGAAAAATTGAACTTCATATATTCATATATCCTATTTTATTTCTATTGATCACTATCTCACCATGGAATATTAATGTTTCCTCCTGGGAAATTTTTTTTAAAACCGTTAATAAACTCTCCAAAGTTGTCCCCTAGCAGTTTTGTAAATGTCTATACATTTCAAAATTACTTTAATTTAATTCAAAGTTCAAAATTACTTTAATTAAATAAAAATTAAAATCAAAATTAGTTTTGTAGAACAATTGTTAATTTGAGAGTGACTTTGTGAAAAATTTTTTTCTTAACAAATGTTTGCAGATACCATATCAAATATATGTTTGTTGGTGACATGATGAAGAACGAAGTAGAGTGCATCATTCGTAAACTTCGACCAGCTCTTCAGATGAGGTTACGCTTTATTGCTCATTTAAACATAGAAGAAATTAATGCTTCTTGAGAAAGGGCTGATAACCCTCAGAAGTAGGGTTACAAATAAAATTGGTACTCTGTTCTGAAAAAGTGGAAAAGAACATACAATTTTTCGCTTGCACTGAATGTGGTTTAAAATGACATTTCAATGAAATCTGAAGAAAGGGAGAAACATTCTGTATTCATATGATGGAAGTTGGAAGATTCAGAGATATGTGCGAGAGTGTGCGAGTGGAAATGTCTCCTCCCGCCCTGTCTTTGTGTGGATTAATTTGTTATTTATTTTCTCAAATGTACAAATTGTACATAAATACATTGCATTGGTATGAATGAACCCAAGAATAGCCATACTTTCATGTACTTATGAAGTACATTGGTACTTTCTTATTCACTGCCTTCTTTTTGTATTATTTGTGATTCATTTTCTGAGTATTCTATTTTGTCTTCGTTTTATCCTGTATGTTATTGATTATAAATCCTTCGATGTGCAATATAAAGCAGCCATGTTAACATTTAATTGTCATTTGCAACATTCCATTTTCCAAATGGTTTCTGATTGTGTGAAGATTTTAAATGTTGATAATATTCTTTGAAGAATTTGTTATAATTATCATTTGAAAGGAAATGTTACAATGTTGAACCAAGAAGAACTATTTTTGAGGATTTGTAGTAATCCTGATTAATTTGACACACTTCAGAAAGTGAAATATTGTTCGAGGCTTCCACATTACCCATAAGGTGTTTGAATATTTTTGAGATTCCTGGGGATGGAAGTTTTTGTATAACAATGCAGTATTCATTTTTCATTGACCATAATTTATTCTTCCTAGGACTTACGAATTGTGTGTACTGCAAGGATGTCTTGACTTGAATCTTACTGTGAAGTTGTATATAGTCTTGTACGAAACATTTTTCCATATGTATTTTATATGTATTTTTATTATAAATAAATGTAAATATTTATTGAAGTTATTAATCTTTGTATTCTAATTCCAAGCTACCTACTTAATGCGATTCTTAATACAAATTTTAAGTAATGTTGCTAACATAAGTACATGCAAAGTATTTTTTTGCATCTTGTGTGTAATTTTGAAATGATAACACATTAGAATTGTATCTAAAGAAACAATTGCTTCGCTTACCCATCCTCGCAGTTGCTCTAGTGAATGGGAATAAAAGCTTCTCAGACTCCGTCCTACTTGTTACACAGCTGGAGCGAATTGGAACAACAAACATGTTTACTCAATTACAAGCGTGGACCAACCGGAGGAGGCGCTCTAATGTCTGCATTGTAAGCGGGCGATGCGGGCGGGACGGGAGGACGGGATGATGGCAGTCGCGGGGAAGTGCGACGCACGCCGACACCTACGCCGTCCAAGGAGCTGCCGCTGTCTGTGCCTGTGCCTGCGCCGTGTCCGCGTGTGACGTGCCGCGAATAGAGAAGGCCGTTTCGGCAACCTTTTGGACAACGCACGATTATTGCATTCTGAACAGTTAGTTGCGCGGCGAGCGGCGTGGCTAGAGGATTGCCTGCCTGCCACCTGCCCTCCAGGAGACGAGTCCAAGTGACCGCAGCGCTCACCTTAAAGCTGGCCGACAGCTTATCGCTTTGAGAGCGGGAGGTGGTCAGTCGTGTGTTGTTCTTCTTCGGTGTTCTCAACTGCGATACGACGGTAGTGTACGAAGAGCGGGGAGTGAGAGAAAAGTGAAAAAAAATCGATGCTTTGTAAATGTCGAGTTCGAACTCGTAAAGTGCGCCATGACTTCGCATGCGAGCAACCTGCCACAGGTGGCAGAAGAAGACGAAATGTACGAGCGAAAGGACGATCCTGTTGATCACCTATGCTTTCAGGTGGGTTCGACTTACAGCACGAGCTGTGTGATCATTTCCATGCAAAGAAAACGAAACTAAATTCTATCTAACAAATCATCATTAATTTGTAATATTTCATATTAATGAGCTGGTAAAACAGGCTCTGTTGAATGTATTGTCACGGATTAAAAAAATGACACACGCTTCAATTGTCCCAAGGTGTCAAACCATTTCAAGGTCCTTACGTGCTTTGACACCTCGCGAAGAGTTGGCACACGTGTGCGGAAGACAAAAGTGTTCAGTATTTGTTATTCGCGTCATGGTTAATCCTGAAGCAACGGCGCGTGCCTTGCAAAAAGACGAATGTCCTATGTCGGCAGGTGAACATCGCTTTGAAGCCCCTGGATGACGCGGCCCTCCCACCTGCGTTGTCGACCCCGCCGCGACGCCGGGGTGTGCGCCGTCTGTTGCCGCCGCTTGTAACTTCCAGCGCCGGTAAGTCCCCACGCAACAGCAGACAGGTGCTGTCACACTAATGAAACTCCTTTTAATTAAGTGGATTGAATACACTTGACACGGCTCTTTTTTTGTAAGAAATTGTATGTGTAATAAAGTAAATCATATGCATTCATTGTAAAATTCAAGTAGTGGCATTAAAAAAATCGCCCTAATTTGCGGGCCAGGAAATTAGTTTGATATCGTGTGACCTTGAGTAATTTACTTTATTTTGAAAGGGAAATTTTTAAAATTCCTTTTGCATTATTAACACGTTTATTTAACAGTTACTGACAACAAGACGACATATATCATTACGGAGAAGGAAATAAAATGCCTGTGAGAGAGTAAGCAGTCGGTGAACTTAAAGTGGACCTTCCACGCTGAGAGTTGGTTAAAAAAAGAATGAAAGACTGTTGGTTTGACGATGCTAGTCAAAGCTTATTACACGATTATAAGAAATTAAATGATTCTGCTTGATTGGAGCTTGTTCGCAGAATGACAGAAAGTAAAAGGTAAATGACCACAAATAAAACAAAATTTGCAATACAGAGGGGCATATCCTCTGTAGAGTGGGGTTTCTTTCATCTAATTTGTTGCATGACATCTTATGTGTTCTGCCAACACTTGCTAGAGAGGGGCGACAGGATGGGAACGATAAACTTATTTTTACGATAAACTTATTAAAACCATCCCAAAGTAGAATGCTACCTTTGCTTTTTCCGGGACTGTATGCGCTGATTGCATTTACATTCAAGTAATCACATTGCGATGCAGCTTCTGAGTTACTCGCGGAAGTCCAATGCGTGAGAATTAAATTATCAACTTCGTTGGAAGGCCAGTTGTAGCACGCGCGGGACTGCCGCCTTTGAACTTGCAACAGTGCACTACTTCTAGAAACGGAGTGCTTAATGCGGTTACGGAGTGCAGTACCCGCCTTGCGAATTTGAAGGTCCCTCTCTAATTGGCCGGGCTGGTCGAAACGTGACCTTCCAGTCCGCGAGCTAACTTGCACAGGGATCGATTTTGTTTCCATAACAACGTTGACGTCGCGGTGCTAGACCACACGAAGATCTGCTCTTCTTGATTGCTTGGTTCTCCAAGAACATCGATCGCGTTGGTGGGTTCGTGTGCGAATGGACAGAAGCCAGCAAGTAATACGCTTCAGCGGTCACGACACAACTAAGAAATTAGCTTTCTCTTTCCGATGTGTTGCGTGTTTTGCAGATGGCTGGCAACGAATTGTGACCACTATGTTTACACGTACTTGGCAGGCACAATAGACAACCTGTTGCTTGGTGAGTCTTCTGTGCTCAAGGACGTCATGAGATTTCATTCGAGTTGGTGTTGGTGAGGAGGAATATCGTATACTAGCCTTCATCCCCGTGTTTTGATTTATTGAAAAGCTATGCAGCATGAGACAACTTTTAAAGTATTTTCTCTGTAGGTGATTGTATTATTTGTGGCTTTTCTCACGCCACTGCTTCAAAAGATAATGTACAGTTTTATGAACTACTAGCGGAATCAGGCAGACGTCCCATTCTCCATCTCTCTCTCCCTCCATCTTCCTTGATCCTACTCTCTCTCCGTCTCTCTCCGTCTCTCCCGTCCTCTCATCTCTCTCTCCCGTCTCTTTCTCTCTCGTCCGTCTCTCTCTCTCTCCGTCTCTCTCTCTCTCCGTCTCTCTTCTCTGTCGTCTCTCTCTCTGTCCGTCTCTCTCTCTTGTCCGTCTGCTCTCTCTGTCCGCTTCTCTCTCTGTCCGTCTCTCTCTCTGTCCGTCTCCTCTCCTGTCCGTCTCTCTCTCTGTCCGTCTCTCTCTCTGTCCGTCTCTCTCTCTGTCCGTCTCTCTTCTTGTCCGTCTCTCTCTCTGTCCGTCTTTCTGCTCTCTGTCCGTCTCTCTCTCTGTCCGTCTCTCTCTCTGGTCCGGTTCTCGTCTCTCTGTCCGTCTCTCTCTCTGGTCCGCTCTCTCTCTGTCCCGTCTCTCTCTCTGTCCGTCTCTCTCTCTGTCCTCTCTCTTCTGTTCCGTCTCCCTGTCCGTCTCTCTCTCTGTCCGTCTCTCTCTCTGTCCGTCTCTCTCTCTGTCCGTCTCTCTCTCTGTCCGCTCTCTCTCTGTCCCGTCTCTCTCTTGTCCGTCTCTCTCTCTGTCCGTCTCTCTCTCTGTCCGTTGCTCTCTTCTGTCCCGTTCTTCTCCTGTCCGTCTCTCTCATCTGTCCGTCTTCTCTCTCTTTGTCCGTCTCTCTCTCTGTCCGTCTCTCTTCCTCTGTCCGTCTCTCTCTCTGTCCGTCTCTCTCTCTGTCCGTCTCTCTCTCTGTCCGTCTCTCTCTTCTGTCCGTCTCTCTCTCTGTCCGTCTCTCTCTCTGTCCGGCTCTCTCTCTGTCCTCTCTCTCTCTGTGCCGTCTCTCTCTCTGTCCGTCTCTCTCTCTCTGTTCGTCTCTCTCTCTCGGTCCGTCTCTCTCTCTTCTCTGCCGTCTCTCTCTCTCCTGTCCGTCTCTCTCTCTCTGTCCGTCTCTCTCTCTCTCTGTCCGTCTCTCTCTCTCTGTTCCGTCTCTCTCTCTCTGTCCGTCTCTCTCTCTTCGGTCCGTTCTCTCTCTCTGTCCGTCTCTCTCTCTGTCCGGCTCTCTCTCTGTCCGTCTCTCTCTCTGTCCGTCTCTCTCTCTGTCCGTCTCTCTTCTCTGTCCTCTCTCTCTCTGTCCGTCTCTCTCTCTGCGTCCCGGTCTCTCTCTCTGTCCGTCTCTCTCGTGTCCGTCTCTCTCTTTGTCCGTCTCTCTCTCTGTCCGTCTCTTCTCTGTCCGTCTCTCTCTCTGTCCGTTCTCTCTCTGTCCGTCTCTCTCTCTTGTCCGTCTCTCTCTGTCCGTCTCTCTCTCTGTCCGTCCTCTCTCTCTGTCCGTCTCTCTCTCTGTCCAGTCTCTCTCTGTCCGTCTCTCTCTCTGTCCGTTCGTTCTCTCTCGGTCCGTCTCTCTCTGTTCCGTCGTCTCTCTTGTCCGTCTCTCTCTCTGTCCGTCTCTCTCTCTGTCCGTCTCTCTTCTGTCCGTCTCTCTCTCTGTCGTCTTCTCTCTGTCCCGTCTCTCTGTCCGATTTTCGAGGAAAGAATGTACATCGACAGCTTTCAATTAGATTAGAATCTTGCTTTATGATTATTTGTCACAATCACAACACTTAATTAACTGTGTTGAATTAAGCTCTATATTTCCTTGGATAACAGAAGGAACAGATATTATCTTACACGGGCTCCGTGTCGCGTTATGATAAACGCTAAGCAGCCTGGCCAAGGTCGCTGACTTCGAAACACTGGACGGGGTGACGGCAGCGGCAACGTAGACTGCGGGAATAAACCATCTGTTTCCGCGTTGCACACAAATGGAGACAGTTCGGCAGAATTCGCTCCTTGCTGTATCAGCGATTTGTTTTTAAAATGTTTATGAATGCAATATACGGCACTAGAATGGCTCCACCCAGTCGCCGACTGCAAGTTGCAGACACCTTCAATTGTCGCGACCCCGGAACATGCCAACCACAGTTGGGAAGTTGCAGTTCGTGACATATTACAATTTTAATGGCAGTAATAACGTTAATTTTGGGCTAAAGGCAGTTGTTCGACTTTAGTTATGTTTGTGGGCCTAAAACTGTTTTACTAGACGCAGCGTTGCACCTCGTAAGATGGTGGCGCGCTCGTAAACTCCGCACCGAACCTCATGTGCTTCTTGTCGGCTTCTTTATCGTCTGACTCCTCGTTCTGTTGTACATCGCCGCAAGACTCTTACCATCTTTTCTCCGTCTCCATTTCAGTAAAATCATATTTTCTAGTGTAGGCGTCTCGTTCCCTGAGAGGTCACATACCCTACAGTTCCCAGAAAGCTCGCGATGCACGTGTTCGCCGACTGAGTCATATCAATCTTCCGAAGTTCCTGTTACATCTACGATCTCTGTCTACTGGTGTGCAATTTTTCTGCGTTAAGACGCAAAACCGAAAGGGGTGGCCTGCTTCCGAAAACTTCCATTATCTCAAGGGCGTTTAAACGGCGTGAACTTAAACGTACTGGCGCCGTGGGTGTGTGCCGGCCTGTGCCAGCGTGCTGGCATAAATGCGATCCATCGCAAGTACTGACCAAGTGGTGATGGCTGATAAGAGGTTATTTCCATTTAAAAGAGTTTTTCAAATTTTCGCGACGACTATGGACTTCATTCTAAATATCATATCTGATCTTTGTTTCTCTTATGCTGAAAAATTGATACCTGCCCAAATAATAGTTAAGTGTACACTCTTCCTAAAGTTCGTGGATAATTCTGTAACTCATCACTGTGAGTTTGGCAGGATAAAGAATTTTTCTCCATCTCACATGCACCACAGATGATTTGTCAATGGCAAACGCCACACTTATGTTTTTTTTCCTTCTTTCAAAAGGTACGAAACACATCTCAATAAATTTTACAGTCCATTTATATTATAAACTATGTTTACTCGTTGGAAGTGAACGTGATGAAAGTTTTTATCCCTTATTTTTCTAGTGCTAACAATTATATTTAATTGAATTATGCATCCTTCCAAACTATTAGAATCTCAAACTACTGAAACAAAGGAATTTCTTACCGCAACAAACATTACGTAAATCTCACAAGGACCGAGAATGTTTGTTCAACTTGTGAAGTATCAACACAGTGCGTGTAGGTATTTATACAGTAACGCAGCTCCGTGTTAATGGCCTATGACGTGTTGGTCAGCGACTCACGCGATCCGCGCGGCGATCAAGAAACACTACACCACCTCACAATTTATAATGGCCCATTCACAATGCAAACGTAAACATAAGCATTACGCGTAAACGTAAACATTAACATAAGTGATAGATCGAAGTATTCACAATGTCTAACATAAATGTAAGAAAAATAAGTGTTTCTATTGGCTGTGAGACATTGTCGTTTACTATTAGTTGGATCTGAGAATCGATTTCGAGATATCAACTGTGTCCATTGCCCATATGGCGTTAGTTCGTCTATCGACT